GCATTAAAACGCCTACAACTTTATTTGAATGTAGTCCGGGATTACTATTTACTACTATTTCTGAAATTTCATCATTTATTACATATGCGATTGGAGGCTTAAAAATGTTTTCACGTTCAAGTGATTTGAGGAAACGGTATTCGTTAATTATGTCTTCAAAATGAGAGAAAAGGTTGATGAAACTATTTTCTGCATATATTCTGTTGTTAACGTCTTCAATAAATGGAGTCATCGATTTTAAAACATGTTCTTGAATTGGCTGTAAAATTGTCCCATATATTTCGTGTACAATGGAAAAAACATCCTTTCTAGTAAAATTGTTTTTGTTGTGCAAAGATATTACAAATTTATTCAAATCCATATGCGGCACTATATTTTTTTGTGAAGTCAATTGATTAGTTGGTTCATTTCCTCTAATCGAACTGATATATTGTCGTGCCTTGTCTTGTAAACTAGAACTAAACTGATTAGTTTGATCATTTGTGCGGATACTATTATTAGTAACATAAGTTTGGCATGATTTTTTCTGTATCGAATATAAAGTCCTATGAACTCTTTGTAAATGATTTTGAAAAGAATATACATTTGAAAAAGACTGACCACATTCAGGTATAGTGCAAATGAAGTTTTTTATCTTACTCCACACATGAAATGATTTTAAATGATCAATTAACAATTTTGGAATATGTACATGAAAATTGCAAAGAAAGCACGTAAACATTTTACAGGATTAATTTGACAATTTGTTTGTACTTTCCAAATAATTGATTAATAATAATATATTAGGGTTTACTGAGCATTCAAATTTAAAAAAGTATTTTTCTATGAAATCGAACAAATATTTAGCTTCTATTGGGTATTCAAAATTTAATACATGAAATAATTTAAATAATATGTCAAGCGCTCTTACAAATGTTGGTACCTTATAAAGTATATTATCAAAAACAATATAATAACTTTCTAATCTTGACAATTCTTTTCCTATGACCAAAATTTGTGGTTGCAGCGAAATACCTCTTTCCATGGCTTTACATTTCATTTCGTCATAGTTTCTCTGGTAGTCATTTACACATTCACACAGCAGCACTGTAACGTTTTGTGCGTCACATATAGACGGTTTCCATTTAAGTCGCTTACTACCAGGAGTTTTATTAATGGAAACTAGCGGTGGTTTCAGTATAGAATGCATTAGTAAGGTTATTATGCAGTCGGCTGAGTCTAAATAAATAAGTAAATTTAGAATGACAACAACTAACAAAGTATACAACTTTACCCGAGTCAACATTGTCATCAATCATGAGTAGCATATTGTTTGATGCAGTATCTTTAATTTTGTCTCTCATATAGGGAATAATAACTCTTTTAAAATTGCGCCAGTCATTGATCAAATTTTGTGTCTTGTCGGTATACTTTGCCGTAAAATCTATTTCAATCTGCAATAATGAACGAAAAACTTTTTAAGGTATGCTCACGATAAGAAACACTAAACAAAAGCATGAATAAATCAGGGACCGTAATCATTATTTTGTGATTTTTATTTTTTCGATCATTTTTAATCGTTATTTTGTGATTTTTTTTTTTTTTCGATCAAAAATAATCGTTATTATTTTTTATTTGTTTGATAATTTTAAGTCGTAATAATGGAGCTGCGTTCTTATTACCGATTTTATGAATTAAAAAAATTAATTCTGAAAATAACGGTTATAATGTGATCGAAAAACCAAAAACCATAAAATAAAGATTAAAAATTATCGAAAAAATAAAAAATAATAACGATTATTTTTGATCGAAAAAGTTAAAATCATAAAATAACTATTAAAAATGCCCGTAAAATATAAATCTAAAACGATTTCGCAATTATAACGATTATAAATATAGTATAATAATACTAACTAATGTATATCCAAGGGTGTGCTTAAGCAGCGGCCAATCAGCAAAGATATTTACTTTTCCATCGAAAATATCCTGCCGTCTTATTTCGATTGTTTCGTCCCATTTTTTTACTACATCACTCCAGGTCTCCATATTGTGTGCAAGCCACAATTTTTTGGTGATTGCATTCTGATCTAAAAGGGTATGTGTTATAAAAATATGCAAAATACTAAAAGCTCAATATTTTTTAAAAGATATTCAGAAATGCAGAAATTTTACGCTAAAAGTGATTAATAAGGAAAAAAATGGAAATGGAATATTACCATTGCTGTAAGACGCCGAATCTTTATTTTTTAAAACTTCTGTATCATTTGGAACTTCAGCTTCACGTTGCTTGTTGAGTTTTCTACGAACATTTGTCGCTTTATCGTACAGCTTCCCTGTAGGATTTTTGCCTTCTCGGCGGTTACAGTAAAAACGCTGCGAAACAATAGAAATGTATATTAAATTGATTTCAAGCCCCAAGTCCAAACTGTGTCCAAAACCTATGAAAATTCGACAAAATTTCCATTCATTTACTAAAGTGGGCTATAAGAACTCCTAAATTTCGTACACAGTTAAATACTTGGATTTATAACAAAGCATTTATATTATGGAAAATATTGCGAATATTTAAAAAAATCCCCGTTACTCAATTTTTTCAGTATAACTTACCATGTTTTCAGTGGGAAATATGGCCACTATTTGCTCCGAAAAATTCACAATATCTTTCATTGTGATAGGTAGAGACCGTTCGCTGAAGTAGTTCAAAATAATGTTCACTAAAGCTTCTCTGTGAACATCTAGCAGAAATAATTTTTCTTTGTATTGTTGAAGTATACTATTTCCTTTTGGTGTACTATTTAGAAGCACATCTAAGCTTGTTTGCGTGAATTTTGTAGAATTTTGTGAATCCTGACTGCAATTCTGGCCGCTTTTACACAAACTTAAAGATGAAATAGTACGCGCCTAAAAAATAGAGCATTAATAAATTTATATTTAATAATAATAAAAATATATCTATTAGGGGCTTACTTACTTCGTTTTGTCGCCAATGCGAAAGTCTTTCCCGGAATTTAATCCTCATACCAAGCATTGTTTGAGGAAAAATTTCATTTACGTCTTCATCTTTAATCAGGTATAAGCCTTCTACATCCAAGCAACAATCTGAAAGTTTGTGATAAAATATTTAACATTAAACATTTAGCCCATTTGCATCATGAGCGCAATCACAAGAGCGCATATGCAATTACTCACAAAAGTATTCGTTGTTTAGTTTTTGTTACGATATTCAGAATGTCTTGCATTATACATCTTTTTGGTTAATTGATTTAAAAAATGACTCATTTTATAAAAAAAAAAACATATAAATCAATATTGGAGACTTTGTACAATATTCAAAAAAATCAACGAATTTCAAAAAATTATCATCAAAATTTTAAACTTCTTAATTAGATTTTTAAGAATCTTTTCAAGTAAACAGTTCTGTAGCTGATTTTTTTGAATTTTGTACAAAGTTTCCCACATTGATTTATATGTTTTTGTTATATAATGAGATAGTGATATAGTCTTGCCACAGTGGCCAGTCTAAATTCGCGCACATATACTCAAAAAAATTCTATGCGCGCATGTCAATTAGGCAAAATTTTTTTATTTATGCAATATTGTTTTTATTTTTCATGTTTTAAATCCCTTTTATTTATACACAATCAAAAAATATTTTTTGATAAGCACGAATTTTTCACTTTTCCGTGTGATGCAAATGGGTTAAAGCTGAAACCACAACTTGACTATTTCCAGTTAAAGTACAGTGACTCGAACAATTGTCCGTACAGTAATTTTTTTTTACAATATTCGTAAGGTTTTTCATAATAAACGTTTTTCGTTAAATTTATACAACAATAAGATTTATACTAAAACAACTTCGTGTAAACCAATGCTTCAATCTTTTTACAAAATTTATAAAAGATTCAAAAAAATTTCAAGCGAATTGCGGAAGAACGTCAGTAAAAAAAATTTTCAAAAATCAATTACGCGATTTTTGTTTCAGCATAAATCATATTGTTGTAAAAATGTATCGAAAAACATTTATTCTGAAAAACATTAGATGCGAATATTGTAAAAAAAATCACTGTACAGACAATTGTTTCAGTCTATATGTATATATCGAGCTGAGCATAATTCCATGATAATTTTTTATTTAATAACTCACACATATGTATGTTTAACGACATTACGTTGATTTTAGAGAAGTCTTTAATATAGAATTTTGAAAGAAAATAAACTATATTGCAATAAGATTCCAAATCGTAAACTATTATCACATGAAAAAATTATTAAACAATAAAAAAGCACACAGCATGTTGAAGTCGTAATTACAATAAACAATTTCTACATGCGCCAGCACAAAGGAGCACCATAAAAAATTCTTAACTCACCCAATGGCCTTTGCAAAACGTTTTCTCCGAATTCCATTTTGCCGCAAATGATTTGGCGTAGACTTTCCAAATGATTTTCTTCATTTACGTTTTGTGTGATAATTTCTTCACCAATGAAGAATATATTCGCCTCCTGGTCGAAATCCATTTACTCAGTAATTTTTGTATGTAGACGTTTACTTAATAAGGCACACACACAATTCGCAATTCTTTTAACAATTTTCACACAACACCACGCAAACACCTTCAACTGCCGAAAAACCACGCAACAATGCAATAGATAAACAACAAGTAAGAAAGGCTAAGTTCGGGCGGAGCCGAACATTAAATACCCGGCGCAAGTATTAAATATATGTTTTTTCACCCTTCCGAAACCTTCCGCTAGATGGTAAGCCGAGTTGTAACAATTTTGAGTAAATTAGCGTCCTTCAATTTCGAAATATTGAAGTTTCAAGCATTTCTTAAATTTACCGTTATATGAGAATCGGCCGTTATATTAGTCCGATTTCAATAATTTTCAACGTTTTGCTTACACGTGGCAAGTACAATAACCATACCGAGTTTGGTACAAATTGGTAGAACGGTTACCGGTATACTTATATGTGATCATAAGTTGGCGGTGCCACTCCCATTTTCCAAAATTTTACCATAAACGTATTTCTTGGTAAAGAATTGTTGCAAGCATCAATTTTGAAAAAATTAGCTTCAATATTTAATGATTTATCGAAAATTTTGTATTTCTCTAAATTACCGCTATATGGGATGTGGGCGTGGTTATTGTCCGATTTTAAAAAGTTTCAGCGGTTTTTTATGCTGTACCAAGGCCAACAACTGTGCCAAGTTTGGAAGAAATTGGTGTAGCGGTTACCAAGATATACACATGTAACCATAAGTGGGCGTGGCTACGCCCATTTTCCAAAAATTTATAATATTCTTATTTTTCGTCTAAAACTTATTATAAATATCAATTTTGAGTGAATAATCTCCAGTAGTTACTAAAATATTGCAGTTTTCGTATTTCTGAAAATTACCGTTATATGGGAAGTAGGCGTGGTTATTGAGCGATTTTAAAAATTTTCGGCCATTTGGTATGTTATGCGAAGGCCAACAACTGTGCCAAGTTTGGAAGAAATTGGTGCAGCGGTTACCAAGATATACACATGTAACCATAAGTGGGCGTGGCTACGCCCATTTTCCAAAAATTTATAATATTCTTATTTTTCGTCTAAAAATTATTGTAAATATCAATTTTGAGTGAATTATCTTCAGTAGTTACTAAAATATCGCAGTTTTCGTATTTGTGGAAATTACCGTTATATGGGAAGTGGGCGTGGTTAAAGTCCGATTTCGCCCATTTTCAATACCAACCTACCTTGGATTAAGGGAAACCTACATACCAAATTTCGTTGAGATATCTCAATTTTTGCTCGAGTTATCGTGTACACGGACAGACGGACAGACGGACAGACGGACGGACAGACAGACATGGCTTAATCGATTTCTTTTTTCATCCTGATCATTTATGTATACATTTGTCTATATCTATCTCGATTCGTTTTGGCTGTTACAAACAACCGTTATGTGAACAAAATTAATATACCCTTGTGCACAAGTGCGCTCGGGTATAAAAAGGTAGCGCAGTAGCTGCGCTAACGGTCGCGAGAAACGAGTACAGACAAATTAAAAAATAAACGCGAACACTTCATACGACCAGAGTTGCAACGGCCAACTTTTTTTCCTACCAAAACCTACTAAAAATTGCCAAGTTTTTTTTTAGTTTTTATTTTTTTCTATGCCAAGTTTATTCATTGTACTGTTACAGTACTACTGTATATTTGACATATGACTTTTTTTAAATCATTTTTTTATACTGCTAGAAGATTAGAAAAGGTAAAAATGAACCATAATGTTGTTTATAGATCTGATGAAAAAGCACACGCAGAGAGCGCGAAGAGATTTATGGGAATTCTAAAAAATTTTATGGAAAATGATATGTCATACGAGCAGAATGACTGCCACCAAAAATTTAAATTACCAAAGTAAATTATTTTCGATTTAAACCTGTCTTCTTTCAAATGATATATCCACCTTTGCAAAATTCAATAGGGCGTCGGCGATATTTCTATGTAGCTGCTGAAAAATACAAATTTTCGAGAAAAATTGCCAAGTTCGGCGTTACGTAAAATTTAAGCAACCGAAAAAATTTAGCAAAATGGGTTTGTTTGAACGCGACTAACATTTCGATATCTATTTTTTTAATTTATATGAGAATTTACAGACAAGAGACTTTTTAAAAGGCCAATAAACTTCTAGTTTTTTTTATAAATTACAATTAAATTAAAGGTATATTAAAGAAAAACTACTTTTTGAAAAGTGTAAAATAGGAAAAAAGTAATATATGAAAACCTTCAATGCGCTTCCTGCGTGTGATTTAAGAAAATTCCAACGAAAATATTAGCATATACATACATATGTATGTACCGTTTTTTTGAAAAAATATTAAAGTCTTTGTGGCTTTGCACATGCATATGTGTATATAAGTTTATCACAACTTTGTAGTCGTGGTAAATTTGTGTACACAAAGTTGTTAAATGTTTGAAAAAAAAAAAACGATTATCGTGAAACCTACCAAAATCCGTTCTAGCCTACCAACCTAGCATTACATGTATGTCAACACTGCACGACCGAATTCTGTTCTCGAGGTTTAATGAGTACATGTACATAGTAAGCGAAAAAGAGATGCCTATGGGAACAAATCAGGGTAGAAATTAACACTTGCTCATGTTAAATCAAACCGAATTTCTGGTTAAGATAAAAGCCAATGTAATTCAAATGCAGAAATATTTCATGTTATTTTAACCCCAAGCTTCATGTTAGAATCTTCGTAAAGTACTTCATGTTGATTCATCATGAATCATGTTAACTAAAAACCAGTGAAATTTTCCTGTGTGTGGGGAATGGTAGGACAGTTTTTTTTTGACACAGGTACTATATTTGCCATCTTCCAAAGGTATGGAAATGTAGATGAGGCGAGTGAGAATATATTGATTATATGCGTAAGTGATGGTATTACAAATGGTAGTATAATTTTAAGGAATTTAAGACAAATACCATCAGTACCTATAGCATGAGACTTTACAGCATATTCACACTAGAGTGCCCTTTTTAGTCGATTTTCAAAAACCGAAAGTTTTCGCACGAAAAAACATGAGGTTGGCAAGGAAAATAAATATGAAATTTTTTTTTTCCGACCACGTTCAAAAAATTAAAAGCGCTATGGAGCGGAAACCAGGCCTTTCCGCCCGCAGCCTACATATAAGCGATTCATAATTTTATCAAATACAGCATCACGGTAGACTGGAGACTCGGCCTCGCCAGCTTGAATTTATTATACACATATGTGCAAAGAAATGTTTAACCACGTCCTTTCGTACTAACCTTCTTTTCCCAATATCTAGGAAGCCGACTACAATTTTATATTTATTTTTTAAATTTATTTGTTAATGTAAGTGTGGTGGTTGAATGGCCCAACAGATGTTGCTAATAGCAAGGGGGCCGGCATGTTTAGGCCATAAGCCTAAACCAAGCTTTAAAAGGATGAACCACCCTAATATATCATCGCACATACATACACATATATGTACATGCATACGAATAAGCACATACACCCTTTTGCATTATAATTCCGGCCAAATACTTAATATAAACAAATTAGCTTAATTTCCCTTCAATACAGTTCGCTGTTTGAGGGTTCCGCTAAACCTTACATTTGTATATGTGTATATATACATAATTAATAAATAAAACACATATTTGACGGATAATTTATTTTTCGTGGCTTTATTTATTTTCTCGGCCTACATTGAAAATACATCGGTGCAACCTACGGCAACATACGGAGCTTCGAAGAAAGTAGTTGCACCTATGAACATGGTCCATCTTCGCCAGGAAATACAAACAGCCAGCATACTATAATACAGTCCACTGAAATTTTGCGACAGCACGAAGAGCACTTATCCACAACTTATTCATAAATACATTGATTGGAGCACCATTTTTACACTGCGCAGATCGCTTTGCCACAACAACTGAAGCACCAACACTTGCCGCAATCATTTACGATTTTCAAAAGCACTCCGTATTCACATTCATACATATGTATGTATATAGCTGGTCGTATACATTTAATCATAAACAACAGGATTGTCAAAGTTACGTGGTTAACATTTCTGCACTTTCTTGCACATATACATACATATACGTCGGTTTCATCTCATCAAACATTTGGAGTCATAAATGAGTCTTTAAGGAGTCCTATTTCGGAGCTATTACGCTCATAATGAGCTCATTTAAGAGTCCGATATGAGTGTGTTTCCCTTCCTACGAATGTCGACTTATATGAGCTTAAATTCATACATTAAATGAGCCTCAATATGAGTCATATTGGACTCTTATTGGCCTCATATACGGCTCATTTTGGACTCTTTTAAAACAAGTTTTGGCCTCATATATGACTCTTTTTGAGACCCTTATCGGCCTCATAAATTGCTACATTCGGACTCTTATTTTAGGTTGCTCTTTGAGTCTTATTCAACTCACTATATTTGCAAAGGCATTCCGCAAAATGTCCTTGCAAATAACATACATACATACTTACATGGATATACACATTCCAACATGCATTCAATAGCAGCAGCTGAAGCTAAATTTTGTTAATTTTTTGTTTTCTAATTATTTTCAATTTCTGTATAAACAAGTTTAGATATAAATTTCAAATCTTTATTGTTTTTATATTGGCACAAGGTGCTGGCTCATAACTTGGCTCATATATGAATCCTAAAAGATTCATATAAGAGTAAAAAATTTTTTGTTTTTGAAACTCATATTTCTTACCTACCTAGGACACCTTTCGGACTCATATATTCTGAACGCTCAGAATATGTTTGCGGGGATGATTCAATAATACAAGGTTAGATAATTATTGACAGCTGCGGTTTGACACTCCCTTACAAAAGGTTGCATTTACGAAGGACAGAGAAAGGGCAAGAATGCAATCCCTTGTTTCGAAAATGGTAGTAGAAAAGTACGCAAAGTAGTCAATTAGAAGTGAAATTCCTTTCGTAAATTCTAATGTATTTGCAGGAAATCTAGCATTTTAAACGAAATGTTGAACGTAATATTGATATATCTACGTGAATTACGTAATTTATATGCTATTTAGCCGTATAAAAACTGCAAAATGACTCAAAA